GGGCGACAGATGATCTGATAGAAGGAGGATGTTTGCGTCCTACCCTTCGTAATTTTGCATTCTTTGTAAACTTTCTATTGCAGAACATATACACTTGAATACCAAGATCTATGAACTGAGCATACTTGCTCGGCCAGCCATCTGGAGTGAGGCGATGCCTGGACTTGCTGTTAGGAACCAAGAGGGGCGGACAGACGACGCAACACAAGCCGGCACGAGTGGGTTATTGTTCCAGCATGACTCAACCAGAACGTGGATAGCGGCTGCAACCTCCCGGCGTGAAGGCAGAAAGCGGCGGCGTCCTCTCCGGATTCGAGAGCCTTCGAGGTGAGTTGAGGTAAACGGCAGATTACTGACGTTGTGGAGACAGAAGCCGGAAGGCGGCTGCTGCAGTCTCCCAGAGTCGAAGTGAACGGCGGGCATGGCAGCACCTTGCCCGAGCCCTGCACCAACATTGGGCCCGAGGAGAGGAGAGTTGACGATGGCGCCTCTCCGCATGGCGGCATGGGCACCCCAAACCGAGCCTGGACGTGCTTCGGTACAGCGTCCACCTCTGGACACTTCTTAGAACAGCGTCCAAATCTGGACGCCCTTTGAAACAACGTCCATCCTATTTTTACAAATTCAATTTAAGATTTACCACTTATTTAATTCAAGACTTATTAATTACTATAAATAAAAAATTCGAAAACCCCAAATTTTTTATTCATAATAATTAATAATGCAGAAATTAAATATAAAAAATTCGGTTTCAAAACGACTTCTCATTTCTCAAATCATCAAATTCCCTATGTTTTGTGTGTTTCAAGTCACCTTTGTCTCCACGCCCTGTAATTCCAGTACTCTGCTCACCATTGGTTGGTCCTTGCAAGTTGCAACCGCTTCGGAGAAAAACAGCTGGTTTGCTTACTGAAAAATCAACGGTGGCTGGAGCAACGTACTGCGTACCAGTACTACTACTCCACCAATATACTCGGATACTTTCTCCATAAGTCAGAGATATATTTCTTTTATCACCAAGAAATATACTCCCTCCATACTCGTAAAGGAAGTCGTTTAGGACAGTGACACGGTCTCCAAAACACAACTTTGACTTTTATTTCTATAAAAAAATATTTATTGAAAAGTGATATATATATATACTTTTATAAAAGTATTTTTCAAGACAAATCTATACATATAATTTTTACATTTTCAAACTCAACAACTTGATAGTTATTTATGATTTATATTCCCAAGGTTTGACTTAAACAATGTTCTAAACGACTTCATTTATAAGTATGGAGGGAGTACTTTATTCGTCTCATATTAAGTTAATTTTTAGCTCCTTTAGTTTATCCCAAAATAAGTTTATTTTTAAGAACAATCATTGTATTGTAGCTTGTAAAAGTAAGGACTAGTTGTAATGGGATAAGATAATGCAAGGAATAATTGTATTGGATTTGATAAAATATAGGCATTTTACTATTGTTGGTTTTATATTGGTATGTGTGGAATGAGTGAAAAAAATATTTCGGGATGGATGTAGTATATTAATATATGCAACCAATAAATATTAAAATGATTTCTTGGGTTCTTTAACCGTTTAATTTAGTACATCAAGATTACAAATAGGTATTAAACTTTTAGGAAAAACCAAAAAATAAAATGGATCTTAGACTTTTGGATGAATGTCTGAGTACTACTCATATATATTTTATTTAATGTGAGTATGTATTAGGAAAAATCAAGAAAATGCACTTTAACTCTCCATATGCACAAGAAACGAGAGTTTAACAATCTCTAAATACTTGCATGCATGCATACTTAATTTGTATATAAAGATGTAATAATACTACATGTGAAACAAGAAACAAAGGATATATGATGATTAGTTTCGAATTTCTAATTTTTGATATGATGATCAGTATGGAGGGAGTACTAACGTTACTTTGTCACGTCAGGACCGTGCATGCATGGTGCCCATGCCAGCAGGCGACCGGTTGCCCTGTTTACCTGTAGTCGGGCAAAACGGAAGGCGCTCCTCCCTGCGCTCGCACGTTGGGTCAGTCAGTCCGCTCGTCAGTCCCTTCCGACTTCCGTCCACCCATCCGTCAGCCCACGCCACGCGCATGCGCTGTCGTGCGTGCTCCGTCCTCCCCCCCTCCCGTCCCCGTACGTCGCTGCTACCGTCGTCCCCGCCTTTTCCAGGCCTCGCTGCAGCCACCCCGGCGCCGTTTCCTAGCCAGCGGCGTCGCATGCCTACGCCACTCCAGGGCGCAGGCAAAGCCAGCGGCCGGTAGGCGGCTGTGCGAAGAGGAAGACGACGCGTCTCCATCCGTCCATCGACCGACCCACCCCCGGCTCGCTCCGGATAGACTTGTCGTCGTTGTTATTCCTGCCCCGTGTTTAATGCCCCCGATCGATCGCTTCGATTCGCCCTTTGACCCGGGTAATCTGCAGGGTACGTACGCACGGGGTACGTACTTTGCATCGCATCGCATCGTGTGGCAGCTGGGCGTTGAGATCGTGGCGTTTTAATTTTTCTGTACTAGTACTAGTAGGCGTCGTATGGAGCCGCTGTGCACAGCGTGTGGCCGGTCAAGGAGCTCGCTCTGGACATGTCCGGTTAGGCTTTACTGTTTCGCGTACTGTTACAGACTTTTCCCCTTTGTGTTTTCCTCTTTCTCCTTTTGTTTTTCCTCCCTTCGTTATCTCTTTCTTTTGCTTGAGAGAAGAAATCTGTCCTCTCGTGGTCTTTGGTCTTGGTCATTAAGACGTCCTTCCGCAAGAAAGAGGGGCTCCAACCTGGCATCAATGCACGTGTGATGTTTTGCCAACCTTTTTCTCTCCCCCTATCCGATTGTAACATCTTTTCCTTCTTTCCTAGCATGTGTGTAGATCGGCTTCCCCAAAGACTTTAAAATTCAAATCAACATCGTTTCCTATAATAACCCTAGTACACCTGATAACTCTCGAAGAGTGTTTGATAAACTAGGGAATTGTAATGGAAGACACTAAAAGTATAGTTAAATTTGATTAAATTATATTTTCATTGACACAGTTTTCTTTTATACCAAATATATTTTTAAAATAAAATTGGATTTCATATATAATTTTGAGCTACTGTTTCTCTATATAAAATTGCACTTTTTTTCAGTAAAAAAATTGTATTGTAGGAGTATATAAATATATTCACCAATTTACACCATTTTGATTTGGACCCAACATAATCTAATGGTCTAAATATTTTTCTTTTTCTCTCATTAGTGTAGGAATTTCTGACATCTAGAGTAAAAAACATGTGCAATTTTTTAGCTCTATTAATAATATAAGTATGAGATTATCAAGTGTGAATTGAACGGTGCTACAATAAAAAGCTAGAATTATATTCAATACACAACACTTGTTTTATTTTCATAGATACTATTATATTGTATTTTTGACCAATGTATTTTAAAATAAAATTTTATTTAATGTACAAAATTTAGCTTCTGTTTTCATAGATACAACTACTATATCATCGAATCAACGTTGTTACGTTCTGAACCACGATCTTATCGTCTAAATTGTTTTGTTACCTGTGGTTTTGTTTTCAGGGCTCTAAAGCAAACGTTGTGGTTTACTTTTTTTTATATATTTTGAAAAAAAGTTCTTTTAACTTTTTTAGTAAGGTGCAGATTGATATTCCCTCTGTTTAAAAATATATATTTAATTTTCACTTATCCCATACACTCAATAAAAAAACAGAATACCCACTTTAATCAAATCTGAATGCATTTACTCATTAATTTTACAAACTCCAATAAAACAATCAATTAAAAATAAACAGATTTTGAGACAAATTAAATACTCCCAGATACTCACAAATTAAATCAATTCCTAAGGGCACCCGCAATGGTTATCGATAGGCTCTCTACAAAAGATCTATGTCAGCATATTTTCCTACTTGGAAAATATTAAATAGAGAGAGAATAAAGCTATCTACTAACTCGGAGATAGTCTATAGAGAAAAATGAAACAATGGATTAGAGAGCTATAGATACCCATGTAAACATACTATTGAAGTGGTTTACTATTAATCTAGTCTATTGCTGAGATGTACATGTTCTATAGATAGCACCTTACTTTACTATTACGGGTGCTCTAGGTTCCCATACTCGCTGTAGACCAAAGAGAACATGATGAGTGGAGTATACTGTGAAAACTGATAACAACTGTGCTGCCAGTCTGCTACTCGTACTGAAGTTTAGCATGACTGCTCCAGTGATTCCCATGGATTTGATTAGGAGCGGCGATTGGCTAGGGTTTGAAACTTTGAAAACTGATCTGCGGCGATCAATGCGCGGTCAGAGCTGCCCTCGGGAGAGCGGAACGGTCAAACGGGGGCCGGGGGCACCACCTCCGGTAGCGTAACGTGAGGGTCGCGTGCCACGAGGAGAGGCTGTTTGCTTCGGTGATGGATGGTGATCTCACCGCACGTGCGGTCCGCGTGCCGAGACCAATAGTACAGTGCACACATCACGGCATCACGCTCGCTTCCGTCTGCGCTCCCTGCACTGCTCCCATTTTCCCAGAGGTAATATAGATTTAAAAATAAAAGCAGTGTAGTGTGAGTTTAATAAAAGTAAAATATGGAGGCGGCACCATTTGTAATGGGAATGAAAATCACATCAAGCCTAGCTAACGCACCATTCCCTGCTATAGATTCTACTCCATCTTTTGTTGTTGTTGTTGCGCTTTGGCATAAACCAATTTCCTCGTAGTGGAGTAGCAGCAGTGAAAAAGAAAAAAAAATCAAAAATCAAAATAATATAATGCCAGTCTGCATGAGCAGAAATTACTCCATAAAAAACTGGGGAGAAAGGACCAGCTATGGGCCCACCTCACAGGCAGCTTGTCAGTGAGTGTGGCAATGTCTGGTCCCCACTCTTCTAATCCAATCCCCTCACTAGTCCTCCCTCCTCGGTCATCAGTCATCCCAACCCAAACCACCAAAATGAAAAGAAAACCCAAATAATTCCATCAGGATATTCTTGCTCACACATACACACACCCTCTCACAAGGTCACAGACTCATCGCCCTTGCAGCCTTCCTCTCTCTCCTCTCCACCCACTCTAGCTTGGCTTGGACCAGATCTCACATTTTTTGTTCAGTTTCTCTCCACGCCACCACTCCCTCCTCCCTCTTCCTCTTCCCCTTCCTCCTCACCTCCCATTCCCTCAGATCTTCCCCCATATCTCTCTGTCTCGCCGCAGTCCGCCTCCCAATCTGAGGAGCTTTTCTTCAGCTCAAGCTTCTTGCTCGCTTGCTCTCTACTATCTCTCCTTTTGACTCGTGGCCAAGCTGCAGAGGAAACCCAAAATTCCAAGAAAAGCAACAGGTCAAGAAAGAGGGAAAGCTAAGGTGAGAGGAGATGGGAGGAAGGAAGGAAAGAAAGATGGTGATGATGGCGATAAGTCGCCCCATGATTCGCGCCATCATTCCGTCTCGCCCGAGGCCAGTGCGCTGGTAAAAGGGCCTCGCCGTCCGTCCGTCCGGCCGGCCGTGCGGCGCGCGTGGAGGAGGTGGTGGTGGGTGCGGAGGTGCGTGCGTGAGAGGGGCGTCTTGCCACAATGCCGCAGTACCAGGAGCTTCCCTGCGGCGGGCAGGTGCTCGACATCGACACCGCGCTCAAGGACGGCATCCTTGGGGGTGGCCCGGAGCTCGGGGACGCGGCGGCCGGGGACGGAGGGAAGCAGCCGGTGGAGCTGAGGAAGATGATGGACGAGCTGGACGCGGCGGGGGACGGCGGCGGGGACGAGGCGGTGCCGGCGGTGTTCATCTGCCCGATCTCGCTCGAGCCCATGGTGGATCCGGTGACGCTGTGCACCGGGCAGACGTACGAGAGCGCCAACATCTCGCGGTGGCTCGCCCTCGGCCACCGGACGTGCCCCACCACGATGCAGGAGCTCTGGGACGTCACGCCCATCCCCAACACCACGCTCCGGCAGCTCATCGCCGCCTGGTTCTCCCGCCGCTACACCCGCTTCAAGAAGCGCTCCGCCGACTTCCACGGCCGGGCCGCCGAGCTCGTCCACGCGCTCCGCGGCACGGCCGTCCCGAAGAGGCAGCCCCTCAAGGGTCAGGCCAGGGTAGCCGCGCTCCGGGAGCTGCGGTCCCTCGCCGCCGCCCACCAGTCCGTGACCAAGGCCATCGCCGAGGCCGGCGGCGTCGGGCTGTTGACCTCCCTCCTCGGCCCCTTCACGTCACACGCCGTGGGGTCCGAGGCGGTCGCCATTCTTGTGAGCGGCGTGCCGCTCGACGCCGACGCCAAGGCCGCATTGATGCAGCCGGCGAAGGTGTCGCTCTTGGTGGACATGCTCAATGAGGGTGCGGTGGACACCAAGATCAACTGCGTCCGCCTCATCCGCATACTCATGGAGGAGAAAGGCTTCCGGCCGGACACAGTAGCCAGCCTGAGCCTGCTAGTTGGAGTCATGCGCCTCGTTCGAGACAAGCGGCATCCGGACGGCGTCGCTGCGGGGCTTGAGCTGCTCAATTCGATATGCGCAGTGCACAAGCCTGCAAGAAGTTTGATTGTTAGCATCGGTGCGGTTCCGCAACTAGTAGAATTGCTGCCAGAGCTGCCAACGGAGTGTGTAGAGCCAGCCTTGGATATCTTGGATGCGCTTGCCGCAGTCCCGGAGGGTCGGATAGCGCTGAAGGATTGCCCCAGGACGATAACCAATGCTGTGAGATTGTTGATGAGGGTTTCAGAAGCATGCACACGGCGAGCTTTGTCAATGCTGTGGGTGGTGTGTAGGATGGCGCCTGAAGAATGCGCGCCGGCTGCTCTAGATGCCGGGCTTGGGGCCAAGCTTCTCTTGGTCATACAGAGTGGGTGCGGACCAGAGCTGAAACAGCAAGCGTCCGAACTGCTCAAGCTGTGCACCATGAATTGCACATCGACGGTATTCATCTCCAAGTGCAAGCTTACGAAGACAATCCAGTGAGTGGAGTTTGGAATTGTGCTGTTCCGCTTGTGATTTGGTCGATGGTGAATGGTTCACCTGTTGGGTCTCACATAATCTGAAGAAATGGCAGCAATTAGCAATTGGCAGTCGACAGCGTCTATGTATAGATAAACTTTGCAGTTATGCAGAATTTGCCATGTCATCTGATGGCATAAGGGTGGATGATATGAGTAGATTGTGAGACCTGTGGCCATGTTATCACTGTCCAGCGAGATGATGCGTATCGCAGCATTCAAAATGCAGCATACACACAGCTAATTCAGTGGCAAGCAGGTGGGATGTACATGCAAATTGATGAGGATTTTGGTCAGCTCAATAAGCACTCGAGGCTGGGAGGTGGTAAGTACAGCCAGTTTTGCCATTGGTAGTAGAAAAATTAAGCAAGAAACCTGCTGTTTTAGATTTTCGGCAATGTGGGTCTTTCAGGGCTGTAGATGTTCTTCCTTTTTCTCATCTTCGGTGTAATTGATGGTATAAACTGGGTAGAATTGTATACAGTACTGTTGCTTCATAATTGAAATACACATTGCCATAGGCCATATCTTGGAAAAAATTGGAACTCTTTGCTGCATCTTTCATTGCTTTGATCATCCAGTAAATTTTTCAAGGATAACCTTTGTCCTGTAGCATATACTGAAAAGCTTCAGGCGGCGTTCCTGGTGCTGAAATTGAAACAGTAGAAAGACGAAGTCCAGTGTCAGCTTGTGCTGGTGCCACAAGTACTACTGTAATTAACAAGTATAGTATCAGATGGCCCAGTTTGAATCTAGAGAGCATAATCAGTCAAGCAATTGTAGTCTTCTTGTAGATTTAGCCGCACACTATCCTTAAAAAGGGAGAAAACAGATAATTTGGTTTAAGTTCTTTTCTGATGATTCAGCAAATAGTCGAGAATTGCCAGTCAAGGTTGACAACAACACCAAACATTCATTTTCCTGGATTGCATCTACTAGTACTCTCACTGGAAAAGCGGGTCTTTGTATATTTCACATCAGGGGGCTGTCTTATCTAATCTCAGGGAAAAAAAACCTTGGTCATCAGCAAGGACAGATAAAGCCATGGCAACGCCTAGCATAGGGTCACTCATCTATGATCAGGAGTAGGCTATGCTCAGTACTTTTTCCCTTTATACGTTGCCAATCGTAAAGCAGATGATGGGTGCTGGTGCCGCACAATTGACCTGTGGAATGGAAGCAGGATGAGGAAGTGAGCGCACCATGCATGCCATGCCTCGTCAGTCTCCTGCTTTTGCCATGATCCGCGACGTGACGTACCGCCCTCCATGCACCGCGCCGGCGCGCGCACGCACAAACGCCACAAACCCACCCGTCGTCCGTCCCCATTTCCACACGCCATTCTCCGGTCTCGCCTCGCGAGAAAAAGGTGGACTCGCGGGCCAGCCCAAACCATGTGGCGTGGGCACCCCCACCTCTCCTCTCCTCGCCTCCGCGCAGTCGAACGCGAGGTGAGGTGATCGCCTGCCCAAAGGCTGGATCGGGAGCGAGCAGGACCACGGGCATGCGCGCCTGCCTCCTCCCGTTGATGGATGGACGACGACTACTCACTGATTGGGTGGCGCTACTGTGCCGAGCACAACTCGTACACGGGAGCGCCAGGATTGTGGTAGTGCTGGTGCCTGTGTACGCGTACTCTACTCGGACGGACACTGGAGTGAGTGATCGAGTCAGCTGCTGCTGCTGCTGCATGCATATGTGTGCGCGTACATTTTGCCTGGGGGCAGAGGTCGCCGGGAACGAACGCTGCAATCTATTCACAGGACGTGGCATGCATTCGCCACGACGCGAGAGGGGGGCCCATGGTCGATCGGCTGTACAGTACGCTGCACTGCGGTGCTGCAGCCCCGTCACTAACGGCTGATCGATCGATGCTAGTAGTAGCTCCATGTGCAATGAATGCTGGTGAGGTGTTATCTGAAGGAAAATTTTCTGCCGGCTTGGCCCGGCTTGTTCGCTCGCTCGCTCACTCGGAGCTGAAGGAAAGAACACATGGACGCAGAGGGAAGATGTTGGTTTTGAAATTTCCGGCATCGTCGTCAGTTCCCCCTGCCCCGCCATCTCCGTTCGCCGGTAGAGATCACATGAGCTCCTACCCCCGAACCAGATAACCTCGTTGTGAGCTTGTCGATTATTTTTAGACAGACAGGCTTCGAACTTTCAACTTTCAAGCGCAAGCTGCCGCTAGGATGGAGGGTGCACCGTGCACGTCATTGTCAGCTTGAACCTCATCAGGGATTTTGTCTGATACTCTTAAAAGTAGAGCGTACGTGCGTATGGTCATGGTCACGTCAAGAGAGGAGTATAGAGGAGACGGATCCCTCGTGCCATCGACCAGAGACCGATCAAGCCATCGACCGATCGATCAGAGGGAAAACCTGATAAGCGCGTGGGCGGCAGATGCGAAATCATTGGCGTTCCCCTGTGGGCGTGGACTTTGGTCTGATGGATCGGCTCTCCCCCTGCAACGCTTCCTCTTTCGCTTATACACGCCGATGCATGCATATGCCGATCGAGCTGTCCCTCACTCACTCACTCACTGATGGGCAATTCTGGGCTCTTGCCGCGCGCATCTGGTGATCGATCCGCGTCGCGTGCTGCTGCTGCTGCTGCTACAGCCTTTTCGTGATGTTTGTACGCAGCGGCCATTTACTCCGGGTCTCCGGCCGTCCGGCGATGGCATTGGTTGGTGTACACTCCTACCCTGGTGGTAGGGCTGGTAGCAGCAGCGGGTCATCTTTCAGTCACTGTGCGGTGGGCCCTGCACGACAGAGGGGACGAGGTGGGGGCGAGTGGCTGGTTGCCCCCAAGCGGCAGCGGCAGCGGCAGCGGGGCATGGGGTGGTTTCATTGACCTCCAGAGTGGCAATCGATCGAACGAGACGAGTGAAGCTTTTGCTGCCAGTTTGGCGTCCGGATCACGGCCAGTATGCGTCCGTCCCAAGTGGCCTCACCTGACCGGCAAAACTGATCACATCACGCGACGTAGGCATGCAAGCATATCCCCTCAGCTTTTTTCAGCTCTCGTGTCCAGGACTCCGGACGCCCGCTGTTTCAGCCAAAACAGCACCAACGCGTTTAATTTTACCCTGTTCATGGTTTGACACGCAGAACGGCTAACTTTAAAACTTATAAAGTGCTGGTTAGTTAAGGGTTAGGGGAGCAACGTGTTGCATGCATTGTGAAATAGATGGCCTTGCTAGATATGCCAGTACTACTAGCTTGTCACTTGTGGACGTGTGACCCACCGGCGTGAGGCAGGCCGGCGGGGTTAGGGGAGCGGCACGCGCAGCACCGGTGAAAGTGAAACACCTTCTGTACGTGCATGCATGGCTGCCTTTCTGTTTTCTCTGCTCCCGGCTTCACCGTGGGGCCTGTAAACTGTGCCCTCTCGTAGTCTAAGGAGACAGGGCTGGTCAATCAAGCAAACTACACATTATCAAAGCGAAAGCGATCATCCCATGCAAAGGACAGCAAGGCCGAGACATACTATGCACAGTGCACAGTCACACACAGCCAGTGGAATCTAGATTTACATCATCAAAATTACTAGCAGTGCTTGTTACTGCCATCATGAAGTGTAAAACCATCCAGGCCGGCAGTCTGTCGGATCGGGCGACGAAATGTATGAAATGCACAGTACTAGTAGTAGAATTTTTGGCAATAAGTTTCGTGCCATTGAATGCTTACAGTCCTTTGAATTTCCTAGGCTGCCTTCACCATAACTGTTGTCTAGTTCCAGATCGCTCCCCCTGCCGCCGCAGAACCTACGCCGTAATGTTTGCATTCAGAAATTATGAAAAGACTTAATTAACCTAGGTAGGAGTCAATTTAAGATAGAGTGAGAATGCAACCTGTTAAATGTATACACCTGAGACTCTGAGGAGGGGAAATTACAAGAAGCTCCACATCGCAAAGCCTCTCTTAGTATCCCACTATAAACCAAAGGGTCATACAACAGAATGAGAAGGAACTGGACTAAAAGCTCATGTAATTCAAGATATATCGGCAAGGGTCAAGGACTCGTGGTTTGTAATTCCCTCTTCCCTCTTCTAAGCAAATCATGGACTCATGGTTGCTTCATTGTCCCAGTAATTCCTCAACTGCGACATGTGGAGGAGCAGCCCATCTCGGCCTAATCCAGTAACGCTACTCGTCATGATCCATGGAGGAGGCTCTGGGTACAGGGAACTGATCGTCTCCTGGAACTCTTTGATGTTCTCCTCTGGCCGGCCCCCTTTACCTTTCTTGGATTTATCACACTTTGTGAACACATAGGTCAATCCAATCTGAAATAGTACCCAAACAACAGAAGTCAGACTGCAACAATATAGTTGGAGAACATGAAAGATATGTTATTAGATATCAGTACATGGCATAGACTGTCTTATGTTGCCTTACATTGTTACGGCCAAGCCAATTGGCACAGTCTATGTCAATTTTCTGAGGCGGAATACTGGCATCAACAAGGAGCAGTACGCCAACCAAGGTATCTCTGTTCAAGAAGTAACCCTTGGTAAATGAAGACCAATCTGTTCGAGCAGATTGAGATGCAGCCGCAAACCTACATTTGTGAACAGATTTGATTATCACCAGGCGCCAAATGAGTTCCAACAGTATGCTGGGGTTGTGTCCCAATGGGAATGGAAAAGCAACAGTAGTTGACTTATAAAGTTTATTTCGTACAGAATGTGCTCACTGTTACAATGTCAGATACTGGCATGCAGAAACAGAAACTACAGCCGAATAGAAGGGAATAATTGAATCTATGCCATCTAAAGATCACCACTTCAGAAATATATAAAACTGAACTGACTAGGTTCACTAATATGATCAAAAGATCACAGTTCAAGTTTCTAACACTCCGCCTAGTTTCATAAGCCTTTTCCTCCTCATTAAGTGGTAATGAAGTGAACAACATCGATTCAATGGTATACCCTGGTGGCATATACACAATTGCCTACTTCTAACATAGTATTTTCAAGTGAAAATTTGCTACCGGACACTCAAAGTTTGCGCTCTTTGCTACTGGACACCCAAAGAACGTGTATTTGCTGCAGGACACCGTGGGAATATGGTGACACTGGCCGTATTATTTTATTATATCTGATCCAAATGGAGAGAGAAATTTTCAAAAAAAAAACAAGTTTACCCATACGACATATTTCTTTTTAACTCGACCAGGTCTAGTTTGAATCAGACCTACACCATCAGAGTGAGAATGGACTGTATCGAGGGAGTGAAAATGGACTGGGTCTGGTTCTAACCAGACCGAGTTGTCTTACAAGCCGATGAACACAAGGGCAAAATTGTACTTCTCGCTCTGTTTCTCTCCATTTGCAATGCCATCTATGATTTTGTCATTGTGATACATCCTAGAAAGTAGCACATGCAAATCAAGTTACATATGAATTGAGGGTAGAAAAGGTCAACATACCCGTAACCAGGCAAATCCACAAGGTACCAACTTTTGTTAACCAAGAAATGATTAATCGTCTGGGTCTTCCCTATGAAAGCATAAGATATTCCATGTAACAACAGAAGTACACATTTCAACAAAATGCAGAAGATAACAACATGTTGGTTTTGTAATGCCAAACTACATTATCTGAATTCGTGTGCAATTACGCAGCTAAATGCATTATATACATCATTATATACAATTACATTTCTTATACACCTAAAATAACCCTAATATCTCTCACTAGTCTACAATTCTACAGTTTCAACCATCCAAAACCAATTGTGTGCATATACCTTTTCTCCAGCAATTTACATGGTATTTTTTAACCAACTTTTGTTAACCAAGAGCCAATATATTCATGAAGTTTGATATGAAAATAACATAGAGTTAGATGGAGCAAATCATAAAACAAAGGAATCAGTTCAGTTCTGAAGGTTGGCATTTTGTTAAGAGTTAAGCAACGAATAGGATAGAAAGATAAACAAGTTGAAAAAACCATGTATTCGGTTCTGAAGGGTGCACAAATACCAAACTCGTCCTCCATAAAACTGCATAATCAATAGATTTATAAGGTTTGCAGCAATATCAAAGTTCCCCATCAAAACCGGAGCAGTAGCGTAGCACCGTAAGCTAAATTAATTTCTTCTGTTGCTTTAAGCACTGAGCTAACTTCAGCTCCCGAATTGCGAGCAAACGAATGTGTTTGCAGTCTAGGACATCGCACTGACGGTTGACGCTACCACAGTCCTAAACTCACTTGGGAGTTGGGAGTCTACCTCAGAGCTAAACTAGAAATTGCATCATCAAACAGATATGCAGAAACAGATAAAAGCTTAAAAATCACCAGGCTTTTTGGAGGTGAGCGCGGCTTCCTTGCGGCGGATAAGGGCGTTGATGAGCGAGGACTTGCCGACGTTGGAGCGCCCCAGCACGGCGAACTCGGGGCGGTCGTCCTTGGGGCAGTCCCGCGCGCGCGCGCTGCTCTTGACGAACTCCGCCTCCTTCACCCGCGAGTCCCCCGCGTAGGGCCCTACCACGATGTTCGACGCCGGTATCACCATCTCCGCCGCCACCGCCGCGTCCCGATCCACCCCCGGCGGGAAGAACAGCGCGGGGTTCACGGACGAACCCCTGGGAGGCGGCGGCGGTGGCGCGCTCTTCCTCCCGCCCTTGAGCCCGGTTCGCTGCGCCGGCGGCGGCGCATCGCCGGCGGACGCGGTCCTCGCCGCTCCGGCCGGCGAGGAGAGCGTGCGACGGACGGGGAGCGAGGCGCGGGGTGGTGGTGGGACGGGGCGCGGCGCGACGGCTCGGAGGAGGGAGAGGCGTGGCCGGAGTAGCATAGCAACCGCAGCCGCGCGCGCGGCGGAGAGGTGGCGGATGGCCGGATGGGGCGCGGCGCGGGTGGCTCACGCGGCCGTCGAGTCCTCGTCGTCCCTGTGTCGCGACCTGCGCGAGGCCGTCCGCCAACATATGGGCCTATTAGGCCCAGAGCATTTATTCGGTAAAACCAGAGCCCGTTATAATCACAGACTAGGCCCAATAGACTGCAAAAGTGGCCCAAAACAACTGTGCAAAAGTGGGTTTTGTACACTACTGAAAACTGATAAAAAAAACGCGAATATCAGGAAGGTATGGGAGGAGACTACCGCCCGGACGTCCGATGCAACGCAAAATATCGGACACTACCCGAGTCCTACGTCAGCAAGCTGATCACATAACTGCTACATGATGATACTACATGCATGCATTGATTAACACATACTAGTAGCGTTTGAGATGATTTATTTTCCAAACCATTTATCTTATTGTCATTCTGATTATATGGTTGTATTCATTGTAATTAAATCTTTACAACAATATCTCACAAGGTTATATTTTAATTGAAAAATTATATATGTTTCAATCGTTAAGATTTAATGTTTCACGTGTTAAAAATAAAAATGTTTCATCTAGAATTTGATTATGTTGTACATTTTAAGTTTTTTATCCATTAGATGTTGTTTTACTGTTGCACACGGGATCAATAAATATATTATGATGTTTCATTATTTATTTGTGAATGTTGCACATCATATTATTTGAATGTTTCATCAAGTATATTGTGTGCAACAGTTACAAAGAATTAGTGAAACATAAGAAAATATCTATTAAAACATCTAAATAATACTAAATAATACTATGAGCAACATTTTGTTGCAACAGTAAACTTAAAATTTATTACAAAGTAAAATTCCATTTGAAACGTTTATTTCTCATACATGAAAAATCTAATTGCACCGGCTAAAAAACACACACATATATATAATTTTTTCATCAGAAATATAATCATATGAGATCTTATTATAGTGATCTTGCTAGAACATAGAAAACACCACATGCAACATTACAAATAACTATGTGAAACATCAACCAATATTTATTGAAACATTCTAATAACACCGTGTACAACACTAAAAAGAGTCAGAAAAAAGTCATCAGAATACAATGATGTGAGATATTGTTCCGAAGATTTAATTATAACAAATCCAACTACATAATTTATTCATAGTTTGGATAAATAGTTGGAGAAAAAAATTTGAATTCTCAACCATTATGAGCTGTTTTCCTAAATTTGATTGCATGCACGAATGCACTTACACCAACTGATGTGAATGTTCGATTTCTTCCTTCCTTCTGCCCGGACGGCTGATGTGAAGCATTTTCCGAAGGTATGAGGTTTCGAACTTAATTCGTCTAGCCCACCACCTTATGGAGCTAGCCGGAAGACCCAATAATATTTCTCTACTAAAAACTGCTGATTGCAATCAGATTATTACTGAGGAATTATGTTAGTTTTAGTCTCTACCTAAAAAGAAAAGGTTACGGAGTAGTTTTACTCTTTGACGAGATTAAATGTCGTTGATATTTTGTGGAGATGGCACAAGGCTCCGTTGGTGGCATCGTCGTTTCTGTTGCTGGTCATTGACAATCTCGCATCGTCAATACTGTACCTGCGAATGTCCTGAAGGATTCCATATTTCCATTAGAATCAGTCACTTGGAAGTTGGGAAGTTCACTTCTATGGGGCGTGCTACCGCGTCATTATTGATACTCGATGAGAAAACAAGCAGCAGCTTTATTTCCCGGCGCTTAATGACAATAACCGACCAAATAAACGATCCAACAGATCGAACTGCGATTATAGTAAATAGTTTGTACTCCCTCCGTTCAAAAAAAAAATAAATAAATAATATAATATATTCTAGCATAACGAATTTGGATACATCTAGGATGTGTCATGGAGCGGAGGGAGTATACTAGATGTAAAAGGTAGATCGCTGACAATGCAAATTAAATATTAGCAAGCATACTACGACGACCAGGCGTACATAATAGAAGAACCAGTTGTATATTTGCCCCCCAAAAAAACGAACATGAGGAAAATGAAATGTGTGAAAGGTTTTATTGACCCAAGACCTAATAACTGGTATGGACTCAGCAAATTCTAGTTCTTTGCAGCGAACCTTCTATTGGTTTATAGTTGTGGCATACAATTTAAAATGTTAATTGCGTATAACAGCAGATTCTTGAGAATCTAAGAATACCTTAAGCAGCATGTACTAGTGTTTGAACTGTTCTAAAGTACTCCAGTTAGGTCACATTTTGTTAAACCAATGAGTTATAAAAAGGAGTTGAACGCATACTCTATAAAAAAAACACGAATATTAGGAAGGATCTAATATTAAATAATTAGAAAGGGTGAGGCTTGGAATTCAGATCGTCTAGCCCACCACTTGTATAGCTAGCCGGAAGATCCCTGGGCGTTTCTCACACGCATACTCTATAACAAAATTGACTCTATGCAAAGCCCTCTGCAGCTCTACTAGCTGCAAGTTGCGACTTGACAGATAGGAGTGGGAGAAGAATTGAAGAAAGTAGCAACAACCTTACAACCCCAGTGAGGATGCGACTATGTAACTAATGGAGTATAATCATGAGCTAGTTTCAGCGTTGACTATGTACGTTGGCAACTATCCCGTCAGATTCAACAGCTCCGATCGTTTTATTTGCTGTTTGGTCTAGTACAGTTATTAGGCAGAATACAATACGCCGATTTTTTTTTCAGAAAAATGATGATACTAACAACAAAGATAAGTGAAGTCAACTGCTTATAATAATTGGCTGGTAGACCGGGTGCCTAAATTAATTTGACTGCATGGCTGACGATTCCATCTAGGAGCCCAATACGTCAAGTTGGTCAACCGGCCTAACTGTCCGCGCGCAATGCTAACTGTGCGTTCAGATGTATTGAGAAGCAATAGTATGTCTGGTGGTGTGCGCTGCGAGCAATAGGACGACTGCATGAATGCTTGCCAATGAATGAAACATCCTTCCATTTTTTGTTCTACAACAGCTGAAATAAAGTTTCCAAGCATCATCTTTGGGGATTCGACACCATCGTAACGCTAGTAATCTGAACAATTTGGAGGGAGCGAAATAATAGGGTTTTCAATCTCGAAGAAAAGGTAGCTGGGTCAAGGTAGCAAAAGGGATGGTCTAGGAGGTAGCGTCATGGTGTGCGGCTAATATGGTGATATGGACTATCAATAATTAGTTTGCAGGGAGTTCTTTTTATCGTGGTAGACAGTCAATATCGTGATAATAGGCTTATGTTCATTTGCCGGTTCCAGTTTCCGTCTCCTTCTGTTTTTTGATTTGGGGCTCTTGGTCTGTAAATAATCTTTATTTCTCTTTATGAAAAAAGTGTGCTCCTTGCGTATTCCCTAAAAAGGCAAGCAATGGTATGCAGAAAATTATCCACTTTGCTGAAATCTTTAAATGCATGCCACTACATCTAAAACTGTTAGTTTGTCAAATTATTCTTCTGGTTCCACCGGCCGGCATGCCAAATCAAAAATCATACACATAACTCGTCCACTTTGGCCCAAGAAAGATTCGATAGATATTAGAAACTGTAATTTTATTATAGCTGAGGCAAGATGGATACATAAGTTCAGTATCTACAGTGCTTACATCCCAAAGTTCCATGTACTATCTGAAGGTGATGGCCGGAAGTCGAGAATGGATATACGGGCTGAAGAACAAGGAGCGAGAAATGTACAGATAGTCCACTACAAAGTTGGTACAATCCACTCCCCGCAAAAAAAAAAAGGGGGGGGGGGGGGGGTTGGTACAATCCACAGAAATGAACTGCAGAAGATCGATATCCGTTTGCCTCATCAAGCCTTTCTTCTTTGCTTGTTTGAACGCAGGAATTCACAGAAGATCTTGTAGAAACTGTGCGTCAGAGCTAGTTCATTCCTCCAAGAATCGTGGAAAATTCCCGTGTTCCAAACTACCCTGGGCAGAAACTTGTGCCAAAGAGCACTGGTGCATATATTTGCACAGCTACTGTGCTACACTAGTTGTGATTCCCTTGGGTGTAGATGTAGTCGGTGTGAGCAACTAGTGTCCTCCTCATCAGGCACTCTTCCTCTGCTTCCCCTCCCTTGCACTCCACTGCCTGATCAGGTTCTCCCTGATGCATTTCCACACCGATTCCAGAACTACCAACACTCTTCTGATGGGCAATACTGGAGGCAACAACACCCTAGAAACACCAAGAAGAACGCGGTTAGATAGCCAGCACCGATAGCCAAACTGCTCAGATTGGAAGCAAAATGCAAATACTGTGTAGAGTTCGACCAGGTTATGCATTACATGGTGACTGTACCTGTGATTTGTGGCCACTGGATCCCGGTTCAGGCCTTGCTGCTTGGCTCCTCGTGCAGATGAGGCAGAGCAGAATTGCCGTCAAGAAGAGAGCAGACAGTTTGGAGCTGGATGCCATGCCTCGCCCTTTTTCTCTGAGCTCTCCCTCTCTGGGAAGTTCAGGGATGAGGGATCACAGGCTAATTATTGGGTGATCTACAAGCTTAACCAAGTGCTTTATATAGGGTGAAGAAGAAGAGCGAGGCTGATATGCCAAGACACCACATGAAGGACAGCAATGTGCCGTCGCCGCTAGGTCTACTCCGCTGTTCGCGTTCACATGTGGAGTGTTTATCTGACGCGGACGCGCGTGTGGACGTGCCAGACGCTCATGGCTCTGCATGCACCGTGTCACCCCCTGTGCGTGGATGCATATGCTGCCAGATTCAGGGGCATACGGTTGCTCGTGTTACTGTGTCGATCCATGTTTTCTAGTAGTGTACAGTATGTGCCTAGACTATACGGTGCCCGGTGTCCTCCCAGTCACATGCTCCTTCGGTTTTCACGCCTCCCCGCTTCCAAGGAATCCAACGGATGGTTGAATCGCAATGTCAATGGATTACATGTACATTAATCGATAATTATTTTTAAATAATTTAACAGATTTAATACAGTATAATTCTGATAATTTTTACATAACTTTCAAAAATCCTCAGTAATATAAACCTAAACGATAATTATATACGATTTTTAAAATATCATATACCAATGACAATAAAGAGAAGAGACAGTGGACGGCTGTAGAAGAGTATAATGATAACATTTGACGGAACTTATAGAAATTATAAAAACAAAACCCAACGGGACAATAAATTATAAAAACTATGAGATCCAATTTTTAAGAGAGAATCTCTTATATGCCACTGAAAATTGGCCCGATCTCTTATATGCCACTGAAAATTTGCTCTTCCCCTATATGCCATTGGACCAAATTTGCACACTGGATTTTTCACATTTTGGTCCTTTTGAAAAACTTATTTCGCAAATAGACCCCTAGAAAAACTTATCCAAAAATGGTCCTTTTTGGGGCGCCAGAGTGGCTGGCGCCGTCGTCCAACAGGACGGCGCCAGCCTCTCTGGCGCCGTCCCCCTGCCGACGTGGCGGGGCGATGCTGAGGTGGCTAGGGGGAGTGCGCCAGAGTGGCTGCCCCCTCCCCCGAATTTTTTTATTTTTGTTTTATTTGTTTGATATTTTTTTCACGCTTAGAGACACACAAGAACCAACCATAGAAAAATTGAACTCAAATGGACGTAATATGTGACCTGTAAAATTTTTCCTCTCCTCTCCTCTCCTCTCCTCTCTCTCCGAACTAGTGCAGAGGAGAGATGTGCAACTTTTTTATTTTTATTTTATTTTTTTGATATTTTTTTCACACTTAGGAACTCACAGAAACCAACCATGTAAAAAATAAACTCAAACGGACGAAATATGTGGCATGTGGAATTTTCCAAAGCTCCACCGAAAAACTTCTCTCCTCGAAAACACAATCTTGCAAGCGGAATTTGGAGGTTTTAATATCGCCGAACCCGGCGAAGCGAGGAGAATCGGATGTAACTTTTTCTGTAGATGTCCGTGCATATATTATTTGCCTGATTCCGAGTCCGTAAGATAAAGTTACGCCTGTTTTAATAGATGACATATTTTGTCCGTTTCGATAGAGTTTTGGAAAATTCTACATGTCACATATTTTGTCCGTTTGAGTTTATTTTTTATACGGTTAGTTTCTATGTTCTCCTAAGTGTGAAAAAAATATCAAAAAATGAAATAAAAATAAAAAAAAATGCATCTCTATATACTGTTTAACTTATATATGTCATTTCATGTGGTTATATTTTGAATTAGATTAAGTAATTTCATATAGTGGTAGAGTGCATTATGTTTAACATGCTGATCAAAGGGTTTTACTTAAGGAGTTATGGTCTAATTTTAGTGAAGGTGCAAAGTAAACTAAGTGGTATGCTAGCTATTTTCAGATTTAGCTAAGTGATAGTTCGAGTTTAAATTTTTTTTGTGGTTGGTTGTATCGTGATCCTGAGTGTGAAAAAACATCCGACAAAATAAAATAAAAATGACACCGTTGCAACTCCATACAGAAAAATAGGAATGGAGGCGGCGGCGCCAGCCATGCTGGCGCCCTCCTCCTGCCACGTCGGTTCGCGTGCGCCACGGTGGCAGGAGGACAGCGCCAGAGAGGCTGGCGCCGTCCCGTTGGATGACGGCGCCAGCCACTCTGGCGCCCCAAAAAGGACCATTTCTGGGATAAGTTTTTTTAGGGGTCTATTTGCGAAATAAGTTTTTTAAAAGGACCAAAATGTGAAAAATCCAGATTTGCACACCCTATTATACCACTACCGTCAGTTGACTTTGCGTTGACCGTTAACTCAAAAGTGAAAAGACGTATTTGTCCCCTCTAAGCTGTTAGGCATGTAGTAGGTTATAATGTCAGATTTTTTAATTTGGTTGACATATATATATGTATGTACAACATTTCAGCTAGGCATTACACATATTTTGAATACATGAATATACAGCATTAATTTATATATTGAATATACGGATATTTTTCAGTCACATAATTTTTAGCCACTACCATCACGTATATTTTCCACAAAGACATTATACATGTACAAAAGCTTCAACATGCAGTAAACATATGTTTCCAAATCATACTTAGGGACAACATTGAAGCCATATAATAGATCGCTAAGAACAATATTTCTGTGTTTCACAGTATAACAAACATATCTTGTTTGCTGGAGCAAGAACATATATAAACAGCGGCACAGAAAATTGAACAAAAACTAGCCGCCGCCCCTCCAGCGACCGGGCGCCGCCACCCTCGCCTGCCGCCTGCCTGCTCCGACGCCTCCCCTCCCGCGACCGCGACCGGCCGTCGCACCTCCAGTCGCTAGCCCTCCCGTGACCGACCGCCGCCCTCCCTGGACCAAGCGCCTTCGCTGCGCCGCCTGCTCAGGGGAGCCGCGCCGCCTGCTCAGGGGAGCCGCGCCACCCCGGACCGCCGACCTCGCCGCGCCGCCTGCTCTCCTCCCTCTAGGGTTTTGTCGCGCCGCATCCTCACTCTGCTCAGGTCAATGCCTCCTCCCTGCTAGGGTTTTTTTGAGAGGATTTTGGGCTTGGGCCATTTAGGCCAAAGGCTATTTTTGTCATTTTTGCAAAAATCTGACAAGGGGTTAGTTCCTAACAACTGGCATATAAGGGAAGAGCCGATTTTCAGTGACATATAAGGGATCGGGCCAATTTTTAGTGGCATATAAGAGATTCTCTCAATTTTTAAAGGTTCCAAGAAAAATAAATAGGAACAGTGGTAGATCGAGCAAACAAATAAAGGATGATATGGTTTGATCTTTCAAAGTCTTAAGACAACATGATAACTATTTAATAAATTTTAAGTAAAATCATATTAAAAAATATAATTTTGTATGTTACTAGCCCCGCAACTGCGCGGGCCACCCAACTAGTTTATCATAAAATAAAGTCTGTAGGACTGAAACATCTCACATGTAAGTGCTCTTTGATTTCTTTTTCCTCACTTTCATGAAGCTTAAAGTAAATTTAACGGTTTAAAATTATATAAAAGCTATATACAAGTTTTTCTGTTGTTACAACGTAATTATATTTATATTAATATTGTATTTGTTAAATTTTTAAAAGAAAAATTGTCGATAGTTTATAGCAAAATCGATGCCGATTGAACTTTGCGTGCGTGATTGCAGGGAATCACACGCAATCTCCGGCTAATCGTATGTCTATCAGTGGTAGACGGGCAAATCAACCAACTAACCCCCATAATTCCCCTCCCGCCGCTGCGCGCAACGGCACCGCCAGGCCACGCATGACCACAACCGCAGGTCATGCGGCCACGCGCACCCGTACCTCCTAGCTAGGCTTGCGGACGGCGACAGGCACGCGGGGGGGCGTGGGCGCCGGCGGCAACTTGAGGGGGCGGCCGCGGTGGCTGGCCAGAGGATCGATCGATCGGTCAGATATATCTGGATGCGACGGGCCGTGTCGTGCAGCAGCTGCCTCTGCCGAGCCGTGCGAACGCTGGCACGGGGCGAGCCGCGCGCCAAGCGATCGGGCGGCGCGCGCGGTATACGCCTGGTCGGAGGAGGAGGCGTGTCGCGAGTCCGTTTCCGTGAGACGCAGGGGGGATATCATATCCACGTATATAGAGTATAGTACTACGTGTAGTAGTAGCGACCTTAGCGAGCCAAATATTATCTGGGCACTGTACGGGGCAGGCGGGCAGCCGTGCACTGCTACGATTAGTCGGTACATCAATCTGCATGCGAACTGTTGCGTGTTCCATCCACGGCGCCGTGGAACGGTGGAAGCAAGAACGACCGGCCGGCTGTACGGTGGAGATCGATGGGCACGCATAAAACTGCATTTACTCGAAAGAGGCCGGTGGCATGGGCGCACAGGCAAAGTTTAATGATCGAAAAGAATGTCGGGGCAAGTTGTACGTACTGTGACGCTGATACTAGGCGGTGGGGATACAATACAGGAGCACACGAAAGCGGTTTTCGGCTGTGGTAAATGGTGACAGGTTTATTGTTTTCGTTTTCTTCCTTTATTTTGTCCTGTTAGAGGGATTCGGGCTAGTTTGATTTGAGGCCGGTTTTTCTTTAAAAGTTTTGGAATAACTACTAAATTTGTTAGAGTAGAATATTTATTAGTATAGGCAAAATTTTTCATCAAACAAATATTATACAATACTGTTAAAGTTGTTAAAATTTTGGTTGGATAAAAAATAGCTTCAATCTAAACAATCATTGGTGTTTGATTCTTGTCATTAAGGGATTGTATCATACTGTTATCAATAATCATTTTTGTTTTATTATCGCTGTACACTACAGTTTTTCCAAATACTAAGGGGAGAAAACCCTAGCTGCCGCCTAAGCATACCACCACGGTGCAGGCGCAAGGAAGGTGGCTATGGGGCTTTCACCGTCGCGTGTCTTCTATGTGGTAGCCATTAGTAGCGGCTAGCCACAAATTATCGATGGCCTAGCGTCGTCCGGTTGAGGAACGTGTGGATGGATACGATGACAACGGGTAGTTTCGCCAACATCACCGATCGATGAAACCACAACCCCGTAGCACTATGGTGATGTTTCGGGTTGTTGCCGCAGTG